GTGTTATGCAGTAATTTAGTTTGTGATAATAAATGCTGTGGCCTGTTCATCCATACTAAGTGGTCTGTCATTATTGGGGGGTTGAATGGGGTTAGTTTTGTTATAGGCTGCATCGCAATTCCCCACTACGTACATACAAGTGTGGGAGGTCGTTTCATAATTGCGGTGCTCTGTAGGAAAAGGAGGATCAGGCTGCCTTCTTTTTGTATTGAGGTAGACTAAATAAAGTGATTGTACTGGATCGGAGCTTATAGGAGGTAGGAACAGCCGGGGAGAGAATTCTGCTCAGGATGGGGCGGAAGCTTCCCAGAAAAGCTCTTAAACACAAGGCTGAAAAGCTGAAGGGTGCGTCTGGATTCCAGCGACAACCAGTTTAGTTCTTTTAGCATGTAATTACATTGTAGCACAAATTGGCCGAACGAGTTATACAATGTATTGAGTTTATTAAGGTGGGTTTGCGGTGCAGGTGCATATACTACATCCTCATAATCAATGATTGGCATCAGCATTTGCTGTACAATCTTTTCCTTTACTGTAGGGCTTAGGAAGGATTTGTTTCTGTACAGGCACCTAGTTTTGGATAAAGTTTAGATGCAAGTTTTTCTATGTGGAGGCGAATAGATTGTGGTCTAACAACATACCCAAGTATATGAAATAGTGGACTGCGGTCTGTGTGCTATTTGAATTTGTTTTGATGGATAGGTGGAAATTGTGTAATTTAGGTACTGTTCCAGATATCATTTTAACAGTTTTGTCAATGTTTAGGAGTTTGTGTTTGGAGCACAGCCTCAAGCTGCGGTAGATTTGATTTGCTTGCATAGATTACTGTGTCGTCTGCATACATTTGAGGATTTGCAGACATTAGGGAGGTCATTTGTAAATAATGTGAATAGTGGGGGGCCGAGGATGGAATCTTGGGGAACACCACTCGTGACTGGGAGAGGGAGGGAGTCGCTGTCAGAAATGGATACATATTGCGAGCGATCCAATACATATGATCGAAACCAGGTTAGCGGACAATCACCAATACCTGAGTTTTTGAGTTTGTGCAGTAGAATGTCGTGGTCTACTGTGTCAAAGGCCTTTGCAAAATCAAGAAAAATAGCTCCAGTTAGGTTCTTGTTCCATGCCAGTTTGGATGTCATTGCAAACTTTTAAGAGTGTAGTTGTAGTGGAGTAATTCGGGCAAAAACCTGATTGATCAGGGGTCAGATAGATTGTTGGTAATACGTAGCTGGGCATGCAAATTCCAAACTTGAAGGAGTTCAGACTGAAAGAATTCAACTGCACAGTCTAGATCTGGGATAATGTTTAATCTGTGCCATGGGAGGTTATTGATGTCATTAAGAAAGGATTCAAGATTAAAAAATTTAAAGTACCTGTTGATTTTAACCTTGGGAGAGGATTTAGTAGCCTTTAGTTTGCGCATGCAGTACACTAAACAGTGATCACTGAAACTGTTAGGGAGAACACCTGCCTCCTGCATTCTATCAGGAGAAGTGGAGATAATCCAATGGAGCAGGGTATGGTTATGGCTTTTAGTGTTTATGCAAGTTGGGGAGGAGATTAATTGTGTTAGCTGCAAAGTCTTAAACAGCGAGCAAGAACTATTATTTTTAGGATTCAGCCAATCAATATTAAAATCTCCAAAGACCAACAGTTCACTTTTTGGGTTTTGAGCTATGGTTTCACGAAGGAGATGGGCTATGCCACATAGGGAATGCACTGGTGAGCTAGGTGGGCGGTAGATTCCTGCAATAATGATTGATTTACTGCACAGGATCTCAATTGTGCCAGAAATTAAATCAAAGGTGGCAGGAGGGCTAAAGTTTTGTAAAGTGGTAAACCTTATGGAATTGTCAACATAAATAACAATGCGTCCTCCTATCTTTGCTCTGTCATGTCTGGTATTTGAGTTGTTAACCATGATTCTGAGAGCACAAAGATTTTTGGTTTGTAATGGGAACACCAGGCTTGCAGTGCATCCAGTTTAGGGAGTAAGCTACGGATGTTGCAGTGCACAAAATAGTCCTTTTTGAGTGGGGAGATTAAGACTAGAATTAGCTGGGGACCAGGATTAGACTCCACATCATTTGCAAGGGCGAGTAACATAAGGAAAAGGAATTTGGACATCATTTTTGTTTGGCCATATAGTGAATGGGATACTTTATAATTGGTATAGCCACTGGAAAATGTAATAACAAAAAGAGGATAATTATAAATGTATTGGCTCCTCATTCAGTAGCTAAACTCAGCATCAATTCCCTAATATAATCTGAATAATTTTCAATATACAACCATGGACAATGTCATACAGTAAATCTTGGAAAGTCAGGAAAGGCAATGTGGCTCAGCAAAACCTATATTTCCAACTCGTTCAAGCTACTTCCAATCCACCCATCTTTACATGGTTTGAAATGGAAAGAAAAATAATTTTTTCAACCTGACTCACAATAACTAGACGACACACAGTATCAGGAGCAGAACTGATGTTTAATGCCACATACCCTGCTTTTATGCAACTCTCCCATGCAAGGGAGACACCCACAGAAAAATTTACATTAACCAATCACATACAGGTTGCAGCCCACACATCCCCTCCCCTCAGCCTGAGAAATAATATAATTAACAAAACAGTTTCAACACACAGTTTACCCTGTTTTCCAGATGTACCCCAAAGACATGGCATACACCCCTAGATAATACATCCCCTGATAGCCCTGATCTGGGTGAGCGACATACTCAAAAATCACCCAGATTGGACCAGGGGTTCAGGAATTTCCTTGAAGTGTTCGTTTGACCGACCGCACATGAGGCAATAGCCGAAAGCAGTTCCACATATTCTGGCCTTGCGGTCGGTCTCTGTTCGTGGAGTAAAATACATGAAAATGCTGGGCAGAATAGACTTTGCCTGGATTCGTATGGATCCCCTAAGTCGTGGGCATCTTTTTACCAAACGCCGGCCCGCTCGTGTATTTCCTCACGAATGGGTGGAAGTATGGAGGTCTCTGCGATGTTCGCGTGGTCGAGTGTCCGATTTAGGGTCCAAACACTCGACGACCAAACACCGCTGGGCGTTCATATGGCAAGATGGCAGCCGCCACGTGTTCGCATGTCGAACGGCGCCCACCCAGGGAATACACAGTGCATTCGTATAGTTAGCCATTAGGCTGGTTTGTTCGTATGTCGAACGGAGGTACGCAACTTTGTATCTTGTGTTTTTACTGAACAACCAGACGAATGCTTAGGAAATACATTGCATACAAGCCAAAACCATAGTGAATAATGTTGCAGATATGAAAAGTTATGGACAACCAAACATAATCTGCTACAACCATGGTTCTGGTCAGGAGACAAGGCGATGGATCCCACAACTAACGTTGTCATTTTAGGCTTGGAACAATATTCTAATTTAATGCAATCCAGTCTCTCAGACATAAATATTTAGCAAATTTGAAAGGAATTAATCAGATTTCTCTGCTCATGCAGTGTAATACAATTCCTCCTAGGTTCACTAAACTTTGCGATGCTCATAATACCACAAGGCCGAACATTCATTTCCAGGTTTCTCTGCTTCCTGCCAAACCTTCCAAATGACAGCAGCATAGTCACCCTAGACTTACATGTTCAAGCTCACTTAATCATGTGGCAACCGTTTATAACCAACTGGAACAGCAAAGCAATGTTCATCCCCCCAGTAACAAACCAATTCCCAGCCATTCTGACTATGCAGCTATTTACAATGACTTATGGTTCAGGGACACATGGCCTCCCGTAACCCTCAATCTGCCATCTTTCCATGAAATCTCAGCTCTGTTCGAGATTTATCCAATATTAGCAGCTGCACACATGGGGAAATCTATGGAAAGGCCTGTTATCTAAATGCTATTTTGATAATATAACCTCATTAACAAAGACAATCTTCCTCTTTGATAATTAGTAAGCTAATCAGAAAACCAACCTGGCTAGCAGCAACACACCAATTTTTCCTAATTTGTGTTCATATTCCAGGCTGTCAGAATTCTCCAGCTGATGTCCTTTTCCATTCTTGTTTTCAAGACTCACACAACTGCCAGGAACTAACATATAACAATTAAACTGTACATGACAGGTATCCTACACCACTTATTAAAAACATTCCCCAATAAGACACCGTTTGTGCCTACTTTCCCTATAAAAAATATTATTAAAAAGGTATCAAACACATAGATCCCCCAACAACTGCTAGAACCTACTGATGGGCCTAAATTCTGAGCACTCTCTTACTTGAAAGTCACCCATTTGAAACTCAAACAAATTCAGTTATTAAAGCCACAATTTATATTGCCTTTTACGGTTTCCTACAACCCAGAGAATGTACTGAAGAATCATTGACAGTTCAGGCACAGTGCCTTAGCATTCACAACAAACAGTGGGGAAAAAAAAAAAAAGGAGGGGAAGGGAGGGAAAATACTAGCCTCCTGTCATTACTAAAAGTAAAGGAACACTATAGTCACCTAAATTACTCTAGCTAAATAAAGCAGTTTTAGTGTATAGATCATTCCCCTGAAATTTCACTGCTCAATTCACTGTCATTTAGAAGTTAAATCACTTTGTTTCTGTTAATGCAGCCCTAGCCACACCTCCCCTGGCTATGATTGACAGAGCCTGCATGAAAAAAATAAAAAATAAAAAAATGGTTTGACTTTCAAATAGATGTAATTTACCTTAAATAATTGTATCTCAATCTCTAAATTGAACTTTAATCACATACAGGAGGCTCTTGCAGGGTCTAGCAAGCTATTAGCATAGCATGGGATAAGAAAATCTTAATTAAACAGAACTTGCAATAAAGAAAGCCTAAATAGGGCTCTCTTTACAGGAAGTGTTTATGGGTCACCCCATAAACCAGTAGGGCAAGCAGCACCTACCACTCAAGTAAAACCTACAAGATCAATACCTTCAATTCAGTCCCCACACCCAGGGAGGTAGAATTGATTGTAAAAAGGTATAAACTTGTAGAATCCATGGAACGCTTCACAAATTTTGCTTGTCATTCTTGTGCAGAAGCCATGCTAATCTTCTCTATATTGTTCCAATTTTAATATACCGCACCGGCGTATAACACGCACCTCATTTTAAGAAGGAAATTTCAGGAAAAAAATACTTAAATTTCAAATAAAGAACTTCTTACCCCCTTCTTACTCCCCCCTCCCCCTCTTCTTACCCCACTTTCTACAAGTAAATACCTGGCTTACCCTTGGTCCATGTGTGTAACCATCTGTAAGTCCTTGATTGTCAATAGCACAGTTTATGTAACCGAAGACCATGTGCAATGTAAAGCTTAAGAGTGTAGTTGGTTGGTTTATTTTTGCAAGACCTGAAGCTTATGGATGACATCAGGATTTGTTGAAAAAGCATCTTTGCTGTTGCTTATCAGTATGATTCTTGTTGCATTAAATGGTATTTCTGACCAAAGACAATGGGAGTCCCAAACAACAAGGTAAAGCCAGGAGTGAACTCAAAAGGTATTTACTTATTTTTATACCCCCTTCTTACTCCCCCCCTCTTCTTACTTCCCCCTACCCCTCTTACCCCCTTCTTACTCCTCCTCCACCTCTTCTTACCCCCCTCTCTTACTCCCCTTCCCCTTCTTACTCCCTCCCTCTTCTTACCCTCTCCCTCTCCCCTGTAGCGTGGCCGAGCTGCTCTGCTGTCCGCGGTGGCCGGCCGGAGTGATAGGAAGGTGCACGCTCAGTGTGCACCTTCCTGTCAGTCCGACCGGGTACAGGAAACAGGAGAGGGGGTGTACCAGCGCTAAATATTCCCCAACCAGTGAACTGTGTTCCAAATAACTAAAGTAGCTGCTATCACACCAAGTTCTTATCTTACAAGAATAGGAACCCAAAAAACTCTTGTGGTGTAGCGCTATATTTAAACAGAAGGGTAGTGATAAAAACTAGGTATGTATTAATACTACCTTGAATATTCCTTATGTCTTTATATTCACATAAGAGTATAAATTCTACAAGACATAAAAAACAGACAAACCAAACATAGTGCAAACTGTATAATAAAGTCCGTTATAGAGAATTAAGAAGGGAAAATTTCCCACTCACAATTTTAGGAGCTAATATGAAATAGCTCAATATCTGCGCTCTTGGGGTCCGTAAAGGCGACCCTCACCCTTCTTGTGTATAGATCTCCTTGATTTCCTATAGAAGTAGAAACCGTATATGGTGCAGTATCGTAATGATTTTCAATGTGAGATAAATATAAAATGTAATACTCACAAAATTAGAGCCATCCAGATCGGCTCTAATCCACACACTTGTGTAGTTGAGGACTACACACCTTCTTTGTGAAAAATGAATAAAAAATAGCAGGGAAATGCCAATATATAGTATAAAAGATAAATAATTTTATTATAACGGTAATTGTATAAAAATATATATATATATATATATAAAAAACAATAAAAAACAATATCAAATTGGCATAAAATCCAAAAGTCCAAAGTCTCACAGTCTCTCCAGTACGCGTTTCGCCCTACAGGCTTCCTCAGCTGGATGTGGTGATTCAAATTTCCCATGGATTCTCCCTGCTATATGTACCCCTCTCAGGGGTGAGATAATTAGTGTCCAGGCTTGTATTTTCGCGGGCAATCACCATAGAAACGGTGACGCCCTGCGTTTCAAGCCTTTTTTCTATTCATTTCCGGGTTTTTCTGTTCCGTTGCGTCACTTCCGGTTTCGCCGATACGTCACTTCCTTGCGTTCCACCATGCGGTTCACTGTGCGTTCCACCATGCGGTTCACCATTTATTTCCCCAGGATTTCCGGGTCGGCGGTTTTTGAAGGGAAATATAAGTTCAAATGAATTTAACATATCTGTGGAATTGGCAAGCTTTCTTTGTCTAACATATACAAGCCTTATATTAGTACATCCAAACCCTTAATAAATTCCATTCTGTAGTGTTTTTTTTCCCTTCTATTCCTATTTCTTGTATAAGTGTATTAATATAAAATGACCATTTTACAGGCATATTGTGATCTTATGTCATTATTAAAAAAATGAATTCTTAAGAGATAATGAGTATTAATAAATGAATCAGTGGTTATACAATTAAAACACCTTATAAATGTCTAATTCCAGATATTATGAAGGTTGAAACATAGTTTAGTCAATGCTCACATAGTAATAAGAAAGTGATAATTCAATAAAGGGAGGTATGAGTGCAA